CCAAAATTGTCCAATTGGGAGCATAGGTCCCAAGTTGGCCTCCTACTGGGGAAATCTGAATGGGTACGACTGAAGGTGGAAGTTCCCAGTAGCCTTTCAATGTCAACAAGTCATTGCCTATCACATCTCTGTGAGGTGGGCTGGTCGGTAGTGGAAGTTGATCGTGGAGCAGTGGCAGTTCTTCACCAGGGTGGGCGAAACAGGTCCGTTCTGAATCTGTCCTCCCAGGATGATAATTGTAACAGTCCTCTTTGCCTCATAGCCGTGACATAGGAGAAGAAATGAGCCAAGAGATCTAGGATGGTTTGGAATTGTTCCTGCAATAACACCATAGCCGCTCGGATGTATGCTTGCTGATGGGTTGTAGCATGTGCGACAGACATGGCCACCGCTTCAGTAGTTGTCTACATTAAGTTCAATGGAGCCATAATCTTCCTTATGGACGCATCTAAATGTATCAGTTAACGGTCTTTGACCAGAAAGGGCGAATAAGCTCTCTGTTTCGTCCCCAACAGCATGATATCATCATCTACTGGAGCAGAGGCAATCATAGATGACAATCCATGTACATGAGCCGATGCCAAGTTGAAGCGAGGCGCAGCAAAACTATCTTTAATCTTCCTCAAATTAGCAAAAGCCTCATCCAGGGGCGCCAGTCAGCTCAGTGATGCATCCTTCGCGGTTGGGGAGGAGATATGAAGATAGAACCAAAGTCTCCAGTCTTCATATCAAAACTGGATAAAATGTCATCCTTCGAAGTACTACGCTGTAACAGGAGATGACACTGGCTCCTGATGCTGTATAGCTGATGCTACCGCCAACACAAAGGCATCAAAGTCCATAGGTTGAGACGTTGCCCCCTCAGACACCGGATTCCAGGAAACCGGCAAAACAGATCTCGCCGTCGAAACTGTAGCAGAAGGAACTGATGAAATTGTAGCAGCCCCAGAGGGAAGATGAGGTATGTCGAGCAGCGAGGATGAACATGCAGCTGATTGAGTCATGCCCACATGAGATGATGGCACTTGTGTGGTAAACGCTGAAACCTGAGGAAGCTTTGAACCATGAACCACTCCAGTAGCTTGAGACCGTACCGCACCAGTAAGCGTTGAGCCAGGTTGCCCATGAGTGAAAGTCGCACCAGGAATCCCAGGAGTGAGCGTTGATCCAATAACACTATGAGTAAGCGCCAAACCAGGATGTCCGTGAGCAAGCGCTGAATTAAAAGCAGCATGATGAAGCGTCGAACTAGTAGGGAGCGTCGAACCGGAAACACCGGGAGTAAACGCCGAACCAGGAGAAAGCGTCGAACGCTGAACACCGGGAGTCCTAGGAAGGGGTGCCGAACCGTGAATACCATGAGCAAGCGCCAAGCCAAGACAAACATTAGTGAGTGCCAAACCGGGAATCCTGGGAGGAAGCGCCGAACTGGGGGCACCATAAAGAAGCGTCGAACCAGATGCAAGCGTCAAACCAGGACCACTGGGAGGAAACGCAAAACCATGAAGCACCGAACCCGGAGTAAACACCGAACCAGGAATACCAGGGTTAAGCGCCAAACCAGGAGGAAGCGCCGAACCGGGAAAACAAGGGTTAAGCGCCGAACCAGGAGGAAGCGCCGAACCGGGAATACCAGGGGTAAGCGTCGCACCGGGAGGAAGCGCCAAACTGGTAGTAAGCGCCAAATCCATCCAAAGCGCCACACTGGAAGAGAGCGGCGCTCTGAGTAGCCACGTGGGATCCGTGACAAGCGGCTCTCTGCCCGTATATAACTGTCCTAATGAGAGCGTCACTCCCGAGGTAAGCGCCGCTCTGGTTGAAAGCGCCGCACTGCCTGTAACCGTCACTTGTGATGTAATAGTATGAGTAGTCGCCACCTCCGACCCATTAGGGCGTTGAGTCACATTTACCAACAAGGATGGCCATGGTTGTATGTCAGATGTAGACAAAACAACAATACATGGAGGTGACGAATCTTCCAAAGTAATAGGACTAGACGAATGGGGTCAGAACAGTTGAAGCACATTCTCGTTCAGATAAGAGTCCGATGACTCGTCCAGAAAATCTTCTTTAGAAGATATGGATTTAGAACGTATTGCAGATTTTATTCGGCGATCTAATTTAGAACACTTCGGCTCCGATGGACCTTCCGATGGATTCCTCCGATCTCTATCTGCCTTGCGCCTGCTAGCTACCCGACGATAATCTGAGAATGCATCGTCGTCCATGTTAGCACATAAACTACAACGTTTAGACCAATCGCATCGTTCATGGCAATCCACGCAAGAGTTATGAGGGTCCGCTGCCGAATAGTTACTATTGCATCTATCACAATGTTTGCGTTTCTTTGAAGCGTGACGATTTGCTTTCCCCATAGTAGAAAACACAAACAAAAAACTCTCTTAACCACAACACACGTCCACACAGAGTGGCGACAAGAAAGAGAATGACAAGTAGAGGTGGTCATGTGATCGTTTAGGCGAGCCGCACGCTTTGATGGATGATTGACAGGCATTGATGTTGGGGTGAAGGCAGAGGTCAGGGCGGGTCAGAGGCCAGTTAGATTTGACTCAACTTAGCTGACAGCACGTTTCCACACATGGTCGTAGAAGAGAGAGATGGTGCATACCGTGAGATAGGATAAGTTTAAAATATATATTAAAGCTCTCAAAGGGTTCAAGATTACTTAATGACAAGTGTATTTCTAAAAATGACAAACTTGAGATTTGTACTAAATGGGAAATGATATTCAATGATTGTGAATTTGATTGGCACAAAATTTTCAACTTCTATTGACATGTATTGAAAGATGTTAAACTTCTTCATTTTCAATACACATTTCTGCAAATATTTATTTATACTAAAATATAATTATTGAAAATGAACCTGACTGACAATGATTTGTCTACCGTTAGTTTGCAATGATGTTTCTGAGAGCATTTGTTGTGCTTATTAGGACTGTTGTGAAAGCATAAAATTCTGGAATGATCTCGGAATCAATCAATAACTATTTACCATGAAAAATAAACATTACAAAATATTTGATTTGGTTTGGTACATTACATAATGATGTATTACTAAATCAAATCATTATCTCTGCCAGAAAACATATCAATTTATGTAAATATAAAAAATCAATTCCAAAATTAATTAAATATAAAATGGCATCAAAAGAGATATTTTCTGTTCAAAATTTTATTTTCAAGGGAAACAATGAAATTGATAAATTCAGTCTTAAGTCTTAAATGGAATTCACTCATCCCAATATTCAGCAACAAATTATAATTACATCTTTACACCTTTTCTGTGTTTGTTGTTACTGTATACCTTTGACTATGGGTACAAATAAGAACATACATAAAAAAACATGGAAATGTTAAGATACAATATGAATACACTTTGTCAAACTGATTTTCAATCATAGCTTTTGTGCAAAGAGTAACAAGAGGGCACAGAAATCTACATCCTTTTCCCTTTCAATGGTGCATAAAATCACCAGAAGTGTAAACATAAGAGAACATACCATTAATCCTAAGGTTTATGCCCGGACTGTCGACAACAAGAAATAATCCGTCCAGATTACTTGTCGACAGTCCGGGAAAAGGGAGGTGATGTTCTACATGAGTGACTTCACTCCAAGTGTTCTCGAATTTAACAAACCAATTAAAACAGTGTGATATATATAGTAGACAATATATTTATTCAGTCAATATAACAACAGGCATGTATCATATGTCACACAATATAACATATTTGTATATTTATTTCATAAAGCTCCCACAATATATTTGTGTGTGTGTTTTATATAAATAAGTGATTTCTGCAGGTGTATAAGTAATAAATATATAAAAGATGAGTCCAGTTATTTCTTCTTGCCAAAAATCCTTTATATCTGCACTAAAGTAATCTGAATGTTCAGCCAAGATGAAGCAACTCTGACACATGGTCTGTGTAATCCAAATCAGTAAGTATGTCGGCAAGAAGGTCGGCCTTCACGGATCGAATCCCAGCATCGATGATTCGGTAGCGACGTCTACGGACGGGATCTCTCTGCTGTACTTGGATCTGCTGAATTTTAACTTCAGTAGCTGATTGTTCTTTTTGTAGCATTCGCACAACCTCAAATACATTCGGATCTGTCTTCATGGCATACTTGTTGATTTTGTTGTGCCAACCTTTCAAATTATTGTTAGTTCTGTGTCCATCATTTTCAAAATGATTCCAAGTTGGTAATGGTAATCCTTCCACTCACATAACGTAAAACAACAGTTTGTTTTTGCAACCTTAATTCTCTTGCAAATTGTTAAAACGACATTCTCTTTAATCAACTTAATTCATTTACTCATGATACGAGCATAGCTGTAGCCACCATAGCCACTTGCAAACCACTAAGCAAACATTCTCTTTCATTAATTAACACCGTCACGGTATGTTGACCACGCGTTGTCGACACTCCGGGTTTTTTGTTTTGTCGACGGTTAGGAACATACTATTTTTCATTTGTCGACAGATCGGGCTGACACCAATCCTAAAGCATATGAGCACAAGTTACCTTATAATGACTACACCGAAATCTTTCACTCACTCCCTACTCTTAAAGCTTTCAATACCTTGTAATGCCATGAATTAGAAATGGTACCCTGGTAGTTTTCAGTGACTGAGTTTTGCATTTGACAGCAAAGACTGAAATAATAAATTCATAATAATAATAATCATAATAATGTAGCATTCATCAGTCCTTTAATGTTTGTATGATGCTGCACCTTTCTTTTTAATTGACTCTGCATTATAATTAACATCCCAGACTACTCCAGCTGTACCATAAACTAGTTTACCAAGACTGACTACCTCCTGGTCACCTGACTCAACATAGGGATTTTTTCCTGGGGATCTATTTTCACCTATATAGATACAGCACTGTTGTATGACATGGGATAACAGATGTGCCCACTTGCCTAACTAAATGCTAAATCTAAAAAGTCAACAGTGCCCCTGCATACAGTTCAGATTGCTCCTCTTCACAGCAAGAATAGGCATCAACTGAATTCCAAGCTTTTCCTCAATAAACTGTTGATCTGGACTGGGGGGCAACCAAACATGGGATGGTATGGTGAACAACCTGTAAACATATGAAGTTATTTATACACACAAACATTTGTTTTTAATGCCATAATATAAATAACAAGAAGACAAAGTCATCAATATCCCCCGCAATGGCAAAATACTCTTCATGATTATGTCTGCGAGTTATGATTATGTCAAATATTTAGGTGTGTATATAGAAAAGTGGAAGGAGAGTATTGAAAGCTTTTTAAAGCTCTGCTCCAGAAAATGGCACTATCACCAATTTCAGTCTATGTCAAACTTGTTGCCATGGAAATGCCCCAAATAGTTATTTCAGAATTCCAAAACTACCAAAAGGCACCAGTACACCACCAGATCTATCTATGTGCCAAGTTTGGTGAAGAAATAGTGAACGGTTTTAGAGTTCAGCTCCGGAAAAGAGCACAACCACCAATTCCAGGCTAAGTCGAACATGTTGCCATGGAAATGCCAAAAATATTTTATTCAGAATTCCAAAACTACCAAAAGGCACCAGTACACCACCAGACCAATCTATGTGCCAAGTTTGGTAAAGAAATAGTGAACGGTTTTAGAGTTCCACTCCGGAAAAATGTACTACCACCAATTTCAGGCTAAGTCAAAACTTGTTGCCATGGAAACGCCAAAAATATTTTATTCAGAATTCCAAAACTACCAAAAGGCACCAGTACACCACCAGATCTATCTATGTGCCAAGTTTGGTGAAGAAATATTGAACGGTTTTAGAGTTCTGCTCCGGAGAGGACAAATGTGCACGGATGGATAGACGGACGGACGGACACATGCACGGACGGAGTCCATTTTAATACCCCCCGCAAAACGCGTTGCGGGGGATAATAACTGCATCCATGTGTTGATGTTTTCTGAGTAACCATGAAGGGATGCACAAAATAGACACAGATGTTGAGATTTAACTTAAAAATGCCTTATTTGACAATTGAGGTTAAAATGTAACATCAAAACAGAAAAGTCTAACTACAGTATATAACATTGCCAAAAAGGAGCATACCTGTTAAGGTGTCATGACAGAAAGATGTGAACTGTCAAATACATTGATTCACTCAATGGAAAAATAACAAATACATCTTCAGCCATGCATGTGCAAATGAAACTAGCAAAATATCTCTATAATCCTAACAAAAGTGGGGTCAATTGTCTGATTGTGACTATGGCATATAGTGTTCATGAATTACTACCAGTTTGTGGTGGTACCAACGGTTCACAGAAAGCTGAGCTTATATTGCCTGACCAGTGAGTGGGAACCTGCAAGTCCAATACGTCTGTTCTGTGTTTGTGGCTCTGCCCTAACGTTGATATGTTCCAACTTACACCAACAATAATTTCCTTCATATCAAGCATCAGGAAGATGCCTTTACATCTGTGACTTTAATCATGGACATAACCTTTATAGATTACATATCATATTTCAGATCCCATATATATTATTTGTTATTTATCTCCTACTCTTCCCTGATATTAGGGATGGTGAGTTAAGACTTATGACAATCATTGTTCCCATTTCAATGCATAATTGGTAGTGTTGGGAATTGGTTAAAATTTATCATTGGTCCATTACAACCGATCAATCATCGAAAATAATTGGTTAGGATCATTTATCAAATGTTCCTGTTACCTTTGTTAATGCACAAAATAATTTACAAAAAAACCCCATGTAGTTCTTTGGGTTTTGGTGTAAATTGCACAAAATGCATTTTCATATTTCACATATTTAAAGGATGGCTAGTATGTGAGGAACATATATTTCCAGGAGTCTTTAAAATAAATTCAATCATGACTTGGAACAAGCTTGTAGTGCTTATGAAATGTAAATATAATGACTCAGACAAACCAACCTTGTGAAAAAATATTGTTAATGCAAACAAGTGTTCCACAACTGCTTGTGTTCGATTATGAGAAAACATTTTCCATTGCTTGGTCATTTAGTCACTGCGACCAATCTTCGATTATTTCAATTAATCAGACCACCACTAATAATTGGATGACTGCTCACTTAAACTCAAAGCCTGGTCACATTGCGGTATTCTTCGATTTCCCCATCCATACTCAAGGTAGATCCTATGTAGTTGATCCACAAAGTCAATGGTATGTTGCCCCACTGGTGTTTTTTATATCAGGTTTCAAATTTGCTTCATTAGGAAATTTGGGATAACAATTGCCTGTCACCCTGCTTATCAATAAACTCCTGTATGGATTCCTAAGAATTTTTCAGCATAATACCGGTTTATCAATGTTCTTATATTTTCGGAATTTCGGATCCTGAACCCAAAAAACGCTGTGTAAATTTGTGGATATGACATTATGAAGTCCAGACTGAGGAATCACTATTTTCCTGTCCCCATCAATAATTTCCAGTCTGTATTTTCCATGGACAGGGTTGTGGATTTCTTTCAAAGGTAAATCAAACTTCTTCATTTTCTTACAAAAATGATAAAACTTGACAGTCTTACTTTTCTGGGGAATGTCACCTCCTTCAAGTTTTAATCTATGACAGTCGTGATGTCATTTGAAATAACACCAATGCTTCTATTTCTTGAAGGTTGTGCCTGAAATGCATCAAAATCCATCATTAGGTTCAATTGTACCTCATATCTCACATTATGTGATTAATGTTAATAATGTTATATAATTTATTGAGTCATCTTACAAAAGTTATTAACAAATGTATACAATTCAAAAGGTACACACAAGGACCCTCTTTATTCTATCTGGAGTGTTATTCCACACAAAAAATGAAAAGAATAAGACAAACCAAACTGAGGTAAAACATATTTTAATGTGGTTGCCTCATCAGCATTAAGATTACTCTTTAGAGTTTATTTGGGTAAACATACTGACAGTATGGTACAATGAACATATCACTGCACAATAGATTAAATAACATAATAAACACATATGAAACACATAAACAGTCACTGAACACTATATTAATGCACACCAGTATTAACATACCATATCAAGATGTAATCACACCCAAATAGTTCAGCTGCTGCCTATTCTTAATATGTGGCTGATTATGAATTAGGGCAAATGAGACACTAACATGACTAACAATTATCTTCAAACTAAGAAACAAAGGCTAGGTTCTGTACGTACTGTTAGGATGGATTACTTGTTGAAGTGGTAGTACATCTCAGTGATGTATTAATGGTAATCATAATAATTATAAAGCCTTTTAAAATGGAAAAGAAACATATATTATCCAAGTCCTTCAAATTCTTTCTTCAATATACATAATAATTGTCAAAACATATCACATTATTTAGGTGATAAACAGCTGGTGTTTCCTTTTCATATATTTTGCTGTAATCTTCAGGTTATTATAAATATGAAATATGAAATGGATACTTACATGCACTTACATGTTGCATGAAATATCACTAAACTACTTAAGTCAATAATGCCTTGTCTTCCTATTTGATGTTTATATGTGCACTTATGACCCTTCTGCAGCTGCCCTTAAACGTACAGAAAGGTCTTAATGTTGACAAAAATGGAGACATCTGCACTAGGCAAATCTGTGATTTATGTACTGTATGTGTACATGTGAGTGAGTGAGTGAATTTAGTTTTATGCCGCATTTAGCAATATTCCAGCAATATCACGGCAGGGGACACCAGAAATGGGCTTCATCCATGTGGGGAATTGAACCTGGGAAGTGAACACTTTAACCAGTGGGCTACCCCATGCCCTGTATATGTACATGTCACTTAAAAAATATGTCACTTAAAAAAATTTAAAAAGAATTGGATGAAGCTTCAATACTTTTCCCTGTCCTACATGTCTATATGGCACAAGATACAGAGAAATTTGTTACACTGAAAGACCTGTAAGAGATAAATTATGTCTATTTCATTAATGTTTTGCAAAATGTGTTTCTGCATTAATAAAGAATGTTTTATAATCATACAGATACCATGGGAGTTTATTCATTTGTCACAAAAGAAGAGTGTCATGGGATAATTTCATGCAACATCATATTTCGAATGACAGAAAATCTTTAAACTTCAAAACTAGTAACTATGCAACTTCCTGTTCATTAATGGTCAGTTGTTTGCCTTCCTCTGCTGACATCATCAAATCATAGCAGAGTCTGCTACATTAATAGAATATGGTTTTGATACTCATGACCTGATGTGATTGAGATAGTTTAAAACTGCTTCAAAACACACTCCTGCATTGTTCATATTGTTAAACAAACAACTGTCCAGGTTTGATCAACCATTTATGAGAGGCCTAACACCAGTGTCTGATCTTTAATTTATCCCCAAAGTCAATTGTGTAAGCATCTTTGATGTAGGCTGGTGACATAAGTGGAGAGGAATCAGAAACATTGTTCAAAGTTAGAAAGCACAGAATTCAGTCCAGAAATTGGCCAGGGTCACACTAAACAGCTTTAAAGACCTGACATATGTAAGGCTGAATAATGAATTTTGCCAGAAAGTATAAAGTAAGGGGTTGAAATATGCCTAGCAATGTGAAACACTGACCAAAGAACCCTACTGCCTGTTAAAGCCAAGAAATTGAAATGTAAACAGATGAAAGCTCTTTGAGACCACAGCATGAAACGAATTACACGAGTCTATCAATTCATCAAGCTAAGACTTTGAAATACTTCCATGAAATAAAAAATTTTCAGTTTGCTGTTTTGAGAATGCTAGACTTGCCAATTTCAATTGCCAATGAAAAAAATCCAGATAACTTATGAAGTTTATTGGTTACCCTGCCCAAAAGTGATTATTATTCATATATCTAATGGATGAGGGTGACAGAGTAATGGAATTTGAGATACAGCCTTCACTGGACTGGGGCACTTAAATGTACTGTATGTACCTACATGTTCAAGTACCACAACTTGTTCAAGGTGGTAGAGGATATCAAGGTGAAAGGAGGGTGCACACACTGCCAACATCAGACCGACTTGTTGAAACACAACATTGGATGTGAAGGCTTCTGATTCTGCTGTATGTGCAAAGATACACCTCCCCAGTCACCATCAGTCATTCTCCAAGCTGAAAATAGTGTCAAGATCATATTAAATGTTAAATCATAAAGACCATAACAGCCATGAGACAGTTTTTGAGAAACTAAATAATTGTTTGAAAGTCATGAGAGAAAAAAGTTTATTCATATGCAAAAAGGGTGAAACAGAAAGAATGGATCATATGCAACACTGTTCACTTAAAATAAGAGGGTTTGTGACATATTGTGCCATCAGCAGTGAACACATTTCATACTCACAATACTCATATCATATGACTTTACACACAGACAAATTGTGTCAGTGGTGACTTTATCCTAATTTGTTGTCAATTCATCGGTTTCAACAAATTTAGAAGCCAGGTAACCATTACCATGTGGGCTCTTGTCACTGTTAGACTACAAATCAAAGCTACATTCAAATCAAGGCCACTAAAACAATCCATTCAACTCAAGCAGCCCTAACTTCACTCCCTTAAATTAGTCTCTATAACAATGCCAACTTGTATCCATGGTGAAACATAAATAGGAAAGCATATACATGTAAAGTATGAATTACTAAAATGTGCACTCATCTTTACATGTTGCACAAAATCAAATGTTTTCCCATTAACTTCCAAAGCAACATTAAAAACAACCAGGCTGTTAACATCCAATACATGTAGTACATATAGCCTCAGACCACTTTACTATCTACAGTGACATGCCATGGCCAGAGCACCATAATTAATATCAGTCCTAGGCTGTCCTCCTGTGGTATGCTGACCAACCTACTACTTCTCACTTACCCAGCAAAATATCAGTCTGGATCGAGCATTTTGCTGTATCAACTGTCAACAACGGTCACTGGAATTTTCGAGCTGAAATACACTAAACAGCCTTGAACTTAGGGTCAAATCATGAAAGGTTGGAGTCAATAGCATGTGCAGATTGAGGACAAAAACAAATGGCAATAAAGTAAAATGTCTGATCTTTCATTTAAGCTGTCACAAGTCACCCTGAATACATTAGCACAGACAAATCAGTGCATTTAAACAAGGCACTACATTCTCCTATTTTCCTTCCGGGTCATGGTAAAACTTAGAGGAGTAATACAGGAGGGTGAAAAGCGCCGACCCCAGTTTCGCACCAAAATATAATCTACTTGAAAATATCTCTGCACACATTCTGCAGAAGCCATCAGGTTAAAAAGAAGTAGCTACACATTGAAAAAATATGGTTAGTTTTAATTACTGGATGAATGCACATTTGAACAACATAAAATCATCCAATCACTGCTGTCATTTGATTTAGTCATCACTGAAGGCTCTCTACGATGCTTTAAAATAAAAAGGCAGAGCAAAACCAACATACATTTCATTTCCTACCAGTCCCCTGGGGTGCTTGGGGCTGGATGAAGCTGTGCTGGGCAGCTGGCAGAACCTCTGTGGCGCACACTGACCGTCCGCCTTGACGCGCCGAGGAAGCGGCCCAGCTTGGCTGAAATGGGAGAGAGAGTGAATGAAATTTTCAGTCTAGAGGGGGTTGTACATGGTCAAAGGGATCAGGAGGGGCCTCTGCACCAGCCAAAAACAGCCAAGAGGGTGCAGGGAGGGGCCAAGACATCATTGTGCATTTAAGGTTTTTCTGTGCACTTAGGACAGCTATAGCACACCTTAAGTGCACAGAAAAGCCTTAAATGCACAATGGACCTTTTTAAAAAAGGCAGAGCAAAACCAACATGCATTTCATTTCCTACCAGTCCCCTGGGGTGCTTGGGGCTGGATGAAGCTGTGCTGGGCAGCTGGCAGAACCTCTGTGGCGCACACTGACCGTCCGCCTTGACGCGCCGAGGAAGCGGCCCAGCTTGGCTGAAATGGGAGAGAGAGTGAATGAAATTTTCAGTCTAGAGGGGGTTGTACATGGTCAAAGGGATCAGGAGGGGCCTCTGCACTTGCCAAAAACAGCCAAGAGGGTGCAGGGAGGGGCCAAGACATCATTGTGCATTTAAGGTTTTTCTGTGCACTTAAGGACAGCTATAGCACACCTTAAGTGCACAGAAAAGCCTTAAATGCACAATGGACCTTTTTTAAAAAAGGCAGAGCAAAACCAACATGCATTTCATTTCCTACCAGTCCCCTGGGGTGCCTGGGGCTGGATGAAGCTGTGCTGGGCAGCTGGCAGAACCTCTGTGGTGCACACTGACTGTCCGCCTTGACGCGCCAAGGAAGCGGCCCAGCTTGGCTGAAATGGGAGAGAGAGTGAATGACATTTTCAGTCTAGAGGTGTTGGACATGGTCAAAGGGATCAGGGTCAAAGGGGTGTTGAAAATGCCATGAAAATGATTTTATATAATTACTTTAGAGGGAAGTTAAGTTGAAAATAATTGAAAGTGATTTTAACTGCCAATCAGTAAACTCTTAAGACTTGCCAAAGTGCCAAAACACCCTGGCAGTATGGTATCATTGGAGGGATATACTTTGCCAGACATTTAAACTGGCCGAGGTGTTGACATGGTGTTTCTTTTTTTTATCCTTAATATATTTATCTGCACCTTCACACCAGAAACTAGTAATTTTACCATTTAAAGGGATTCCTCAGATACTTCAGATACACGACCCAAATTCCAGAAATATTTGTTGCCATGCTAGGTTACCCTGGGATATAAATCTCAAATATTTTTTTCAAAGTTTCTAGTGCCCTGATAGCCATGGAAAGGTAGCATTACTTTGGCCTGCCTGGGTAACCTTTACTTCCTTCATTAGACGCCCTATTAGAGCTGACGCTATTGAAATACGTGGAGATAGTTTAATTAGATCTGGCAATATGTACGTACATATGTATTGTATAAGTATTTAGTTGGTTGACAAGAGATGTTATTGTGTTTGGTTGGAGAGTTATGAAAAGTCAGGACTGAGCAATGACAATATTGACATATCAATGTTTCCATCGCAACGCTAGGTACCGTGGTTGTTCTCGAGGAGGCTTTCTCGCTTGAACTCCTTCACCGTGGGAAGTTACGTCGCAAAACTTCAATACAGCACATTATATTGAATATACTTCATGTTTAATTATATACCTCATATGCATATTGTAGCTGTCACATTGTATAAGGCAATAACAGACGAAGAAGCGTTGGTCAACTCCCTCTACTAGTTCCGCGGAAGATACTGTGCCGTGCATGTGACGTAGTGACATAAGCTCCGCCCCCTCCATGAATATTCATGATTTCTGTGCCCTTTAAAGAACCAATAAACTTTGTTTTTTGTTACTCTTTTAACGATTACATATGAAAGATTTGTGGTTAGTGTTATGCCGAACACCAAATTTATTCTTTAAAAACTTGTGGTTAATTAATACCGAGCGATTAAATGTGGCCAAAAAGTCGCCTGCTTCCCTCTCGCCCGCCAACGAAACCACAGACAGGTTACGTAACTCTGTCGCCAGAGCACTGCAGTGACGTCATATGAGGAACGATTTTCAGTTAGTTGTATCAGGGATACTCTTATATAGTCTCCCTGGTTGTATAGAAAGTGTGTAGCACGCTCATCATTCTGATGATTTCTCGACATCAACGACGACATGCCGAATCGTTGCTTTGTCGTCAATAGACCGATCCAGTCTGTCAATCAAAACTGGCGCATGCGTCAATTTTGGCCAATCAGCAGGCCGGGCGCGTTGTGTGGATTTGTCAGACTTATTTCCGGGGTCAAACGATGCATCCGAAGCGATGTGCTTCAAATTATGCCATTTACACTCGCTATATTTATTACATATTGCTGCGATTTGATGTGTACCTTAACAAAACCATTACGGTCAAGACAACAAAAATGGAGGCGGATCAAGAAACGCGATAGGCCTGACGATCACACTTTTGCACATGTGCAAAATCATTACCAATTGATGACAACAAATAGCAGTTTAAGACTTTGCAAGTGTTATAAACACGGACAATTCTTGTAACTACAAAATTGTTTTTGCTTCACGTTTTTAGTCACTACTAGGCATTGAGTTGGTACGCCACAAAGCTCAAGAGAGAGGCGAGAAAGCCGTGACACAATGTAAACAAATTTTCATTTCGGTTAGGTTCAACCGAAATAGCAAAACATGTTACATGAAAGAACAATGTGGCGGATATTGTCCCCTTCGCTCTTAGATATTCTTAAATTTGTCACACATTTTAGGATGTTTTAAGTTTCATAAGCACAATCTGATGGCCTACAGTATCTTGTTAACAGAGCAAAATATTCGATGAGTAATATTTTTTATTCAAACGGAAATATTGTCAGTGTCAGCAGTTGCCTATCATGCAATATCAAAGTATCAAAATTAGTTCATATGAGTGCCTATAAAACCATGCTTTAAATATTTCAGATTTTTATAAAGAATTGCATGGGACTTTGACCTGAATTACCATCCTCCAGGTTGATCGAATACGAAAACTATGTGAGAAGAATAGTGACTTTCTGGAGTATTGGACAGAGTGAAATAAAGTGTATATCTTAATTATGAGAACATTATTTGAAGTTTTGTTACCACATAAATTATTCACATATAATGGTACATTTTAGGAGTAATATTACAACTGTAATTTTGATTAATTCACTGGAAATGATATCAAGGTACATGTTTTCAGAATCTTGCTTTTTTTAGTAAACGTGGAAGGGAAATAACATTAATAATAATCTAATCAATAATAAATAATTATTTAATTGATTGACATATCAGATTTTTAGATTTTAAGGCAGAACTAGGCAAACAAACACCATACATATCAAGGCAGGACAATCACTTGGTATTAACTTAGTTTCTTGGCTCCTGCTTTTTAGATGGTTTTTAAATACTACATTTACTAATAAGATAATTCTGAAAGTGATTGCTAGTATCATAACTCATTAAAGTTATTTCAACATCCAGAATATTTGAAAAAGCAAAGG